TTTGATGGCGTACCATTCGAATGTAGTTGCCGGGTTTTCCAGCACTTTCTGTGGTACTTTTTTTTACTCAGTCTCCAATGAACGGGTATGCGGGACAGCATGCTTTTCTGTTTGGTCTGTGCATTGTTTTCGTAGTTTACTGTGAGGGATTTCCGTTTTTTCAGAAAGTCATCCTCTTGACCTGCCGAACACTTGATTATGGATGTGGTGAGTGGAAAATTAGAAATTTCAAAATGATTCCAGTCTTTCATACATTTTTAGTCCGTTGTGATCCCAGTGAAAAATGGTGTGCCTTATATTGACGAGTGCTTGGATTCACTTCTGAATCAAACGTTCAAAGGTGCATGGGAGGTGGGCTTTCCTTAATTGATCTCCAAAATCTGAGGCGTTACTCGGACGTTAAGAATTCCAGTATTCTTGCAGATATGCGTTTACAATGACGGTAGTAGTGACTCAACCGTTTCTCATGTTGAACAATTCATTCCTGGCTTTGCAGCCCGAGGTGTTGACCTTCGCATCAGAAGTGGTTTGGAAAGTGGAGGTTCGAAATTTTGGGAAACGTGTATGCTGTCGTGTTTCTGATGGACTGTTCACCTAGGAGTTGGTTACGCGAAGAACCGGGCGATAGAAATGAGCAATGGTCGTTTCATCTGCTTCTGCGACGCAGACGATCTATCAGATTCATCACGTATTCAAGCACAATACAACCTGGCTTCGTCATGCTCGGGCGGTTCATTAGTTTTTATTGGTTAGTGCTCGAAATCTAATTTGTGGTTGGACCATTCAAAACTGTGTGCACTGTTGAAAATATCTTTTGAATATTGAAAAGTATTCTACTTGCAAATTATCGCGTGTTGTTTAGAGCTGTTCGCGCTGTTGAGCACATTTTTAAGCATGCGCAGCATGCTCGTAGCCATAGATTTGATGGTTCGTGTTATAAGTCAGGATGCGCAAGATGAGATTGCGTGGCGGCGGAGCAATATTCCTTTTCGCCGCTCGCGGCATTTGTATCACTATGGCTTACCCATGGCTGGCTGGCTGATCGACTATAAGCTGGTCTTCGTACTAGCTACCAGTAGCGCATTGAGACGATTTGTTTCCTATGGCCTCATCGCATTGCAGACCGAGTAACATATAGTCCATATCCCAATGTTTGACTGGGCGTGTCCCGACAAGACAACAGCCGCACTTGAGAGATGTCGTAACGATGAGCTTCTCCAATACGTCATTTAATATCAGCAAACCATGCTGGCAACAGCTTATTCACGCAACCTCTCTACTACGGCGGCCGCCACGTCATTTCCGGTGACACGCCCAATCAGATCCGAGATGAGACTGTATTATGGTGCCAAATCACCTCAAAAATTATCAAAAGCACACTTAAACTCTTATATCTAGATCATGCTGTGTGTATGCTGTTCGAAATTATTGACATTCCTGGCCCGGGAAAAGCAAGGCTATTCGGGAAAATTAGCAGGAATCTTTCCACGAAAAGCCCGCCCAATTACGCATAGAAAACGATCCCTTAAAGAATCTTCCACGGACAAGAGTAATCTAGTTTGTCTTGTCAACATTTTATTCGAAACCCTTCCCAACGTATGGGGCGGAAGTGGTGCAGTGACAAGTGGCGCGCTCACCACGCGAGCGGTCCGGGATCAAATCCTGGGTCGTGAGTCGCCCGGGCCAACCAAGCCTTCCATCCCTCCGGGGTCGGTTAATTGGTACCAGACTTGTCTGGGAGGATAAAAAACACTGACTTGAACATCGGCTGGCCCCCGCAAGTCATTGTATAGGCCACATCGCATTCAAATGCCACTGCGAATGTACAAATGGAAGTAGAATGCGTGCCGCATCCCAAAAAGGGATTGATCAACGGCAAATGCTTTATCCTTTTATCCTTTAACGCTTATGTTTCGTTCTTTTTGCTATGCTCATAAGGCTAGGAGCCTAATGGGTATCGTTTTCGTGAGGTAATGGAGGCGGAGCTTTTTCCGCAGAATGTTCCTTTAAGTGCAGAGTCAGTGCACTTTGCAGTTCGAGTGTGTAGTAGATAACTGTCGATCGTGCGAACGCATGATGCTCTCATTTTTCCACTTGAACTTCCAAACTGAATCAAAATAAATTGACCCGATTCAAAAGGAAACCTTTCGTGATACTGATGAGGACATGGGGGAAAAACCGGATTTAAAAGGGTTGCTAATGATGCTGGTTGTATATTGAAGACGCTACGAGCCATCTGTCCTTACTTTCCGTTACTGCTATTGAGCTGAGACCCTCAACAATTTTAGAAAGGTCGAGCACTCAATGCATGTTAATTAGTTGAACACTAAGCACTCCATTTTTATGTATTCATAATGATTGCTGATGAGAATCATATGAGGAAAGATGCGAAAATGCCAAGCGCGGTCCGTCCAGTGTTCGTTAATACAAGGATAAAAGATTAACACGTTGACGACAAGTTGACGCGCATGCGCGTCAAGTATTTCGCACCGCATCGGACATCCTGACGCGCAAGCGCGTCAAGTCTGTGTTATTCATTTTTATCGTGCTTGCGCTCCTTCTTCTCGGGTTTCTTGTATTCATTCTATAGATAATACATTAGCATAACTATAAACCGCCTGGCAGCCAGAGTGGTCAAGTATCCTATGATTTAGCAAAAATTTTCCGAACGCACAAAACTTTCATTTCAATTCTTTCCTGGTATTCCTTTCACTGTCGTTAACATTTATATGAAAGATTGTAGAATTAGTTAATACAAAACTCTGTGAGTTTCAATATATTTGCATGTGATGGAAATACTTAGATACAAATGCTTTTAATTTCATTCGCAGCGAAAGCGTTTTTTACTTCTTCGTGGTCATTATGCACTCTTCTAAACAAAAACCTACTGCTACTTATATAGTTAACCTTTATACGTTCATCCTTGCCGAAATAGTCCTATGAAATTCTAGTTATTGTGCATTTTTAACAAAAAATAAGCGGAAGTAAGGTGAGGACGGCGCGGTCGCAAAATCGCTCCTGTCCCACGAGGTGCAAAATGCCAAAACATGCGATGTCGTCAACGTGTTAATTTTCCAGGAAGCAACTTTCGGCGATTACCGGAAGGGTCAACAGAGCGGTACACGAAGTGGGCTAATGGCTTATCCAGTGATCAGTTGACATCTCAAGTTTGCCCTCTCAATAAACTACTCCATATTTTCCCCCTACTTTTTGCCATTTATGAATGTAGGTTTAGGTTTTCACTTCCCATGGCCCCACGCTAATCGCTCCGACATGGTTTATTTCCCGTGATCTCTATCAGCGGTTGAACGGCTTTCGAGAAGACTTCCGCAGTGGATACCCGGAAGATCTCGAGTTTTTCTATCGAGCCCTCGATTTGGAAAATGTCTCTTTTTTGAAAGTAGGTTCAGTTGTTTCTCCCTCAATTAGTGGTCAACCGACATATTTATCCTCAGTTTTTGAATTTTGGCGTGGTAGTCAGCTTGAATTAATCCCTGATGGATTTCTTCGGAAAAACTGTTTCCTACATCTGAAAAGTTTTACTTCATTCAAACTCCACACTTTTGAGGAGATGCCTCTTTAGGTTGATGAGCCCCTCGTATGGTATCGCTATCACAACGGTTGCGCATCTTTTGGTGTGCCTGAAAACACCATTTGGAAAATGCGTATCGATCGCTTGTGTGACAAGGTCCTTCCGGACTGGAAAACGTTCACGATTTGGAATGCCGGCAAACAAGGAAAAAGATTTTTCAAGTTTGTTGATGGGCTGCTTTGGATCTTTCTACTCCACAGATTTCCTTCGGACTTGTTTTTTAGATCGTTGCCAAAAGAATGCAAAGCTCGTGTTGTGGCGTTCTGCGACGTTGATGAGAAAAAGATAAGTCGAGGAGTGTTGGAAGAGTATGATGAGGTTGCTCGCGTGGTACGGTGGAAGTTGCCGATCGTGCATGTGAGGTGAGCTTTGTTTTGTGCTAAGCTATAAAAGCGCCTCTGTAGATGCTGCAGCTTTCGACCAGCGTTTCAGATAACGTCGTAATGGTCTAGGATCCACCGAAGATTCCTTTGAGCTCGACCCGTAGACCATGTTCCCGTGGCAGTTCCTTCTGTTGTCGTTGGAATAGAAGGGTATTAAGATTCATAACTCCCAGTCAATTTCCAGTGGTGATCATTCGGTTTGAATTCAACAAAGTGTAATTAATTACGTCTTGAATGTGTAGGCTTTTTTGCCCTCCCCCTTCGTTAAATCGCTACCCAATGCAATGGAGTGCTTAGCTCAGCCCAGGGCTTGGCCCGTAATTTGAATTTATATCGCTGTTTGATGTCCTTTGGTAGTCCTTACACGCACAAATCATCGCCATCTCCAAGAAATTTCAACAAGCTTCCAAAATTCCCGGTGAAATGAGAGCTTTTGCTGTCTGCAGTGCTTTTTTTGTCAACCAAAGGTAATGGATGATAACCCTCCATTTCTCACCATGCGGCGCTGAATGTCCGTGCTTGTGAATTGTCGCCTTTTGTTTGTTGACTTTGTCGATTGTCTCGTCAACATCGCTTATCGCAGCTGCCAGTCGCCTAGTGCTTGCACTGGAACATTTCCTCATTCACGTGAGAACTACTTCATAACAAGATGGTAGCACTCTCTCTCGCGAAAAATGGCGAGGAATGTGGTACGAACTGATCGAAGTGGTCCTAAATAGTTGTACTTGAGAATATCCGAGATGGGTTCGATTGCAGAATCTGAGTAGGTACGAGGTCACACTTTTAGTTATCCTCGCTGCAAAGGATTTATGACAACGTCTTTAATAAGGCACCCATGTGCTTTATCTTTTTGTCCTGGAAAATGTGTTCTCCCTACCCTGAGCACTGATCCATTGTCGCTTTTGAAACAATCGTGCTAATTTTAAGGAACCGTATGATTCTATCCGTTGTGAATCGGTGGCTTGCAGCCCATCTTCTACGAAAGGACGAAAAGTACGAAAAATGCTTTTATCTCGGTGAAGAATCTGAAAAAAATAAACTCTTATTCGTTCAAGTTACAAATGGTGGCGGGAGGCTTCCATTTGTTTCAAGGGATGCCGTTACTAGGAAACCTTTTTGGCCTCCTCACCCATAAACAGGACATTTTCCTTCTCACCCCGTCACCGTGCTGAAACGTTTTGTCGGCGCTATCGCAAGATATAGGGGCACTGCCCATTGGCAAACCGTGTAGGATATCTTTATTAAAAACGGGACGAATTTTTCAGTGAGTGGAAGACTCCAGGGTGCGTGAGCAACTTTCATTTCCCCCGGAGTTCCTACAACTCCTAGATATATTCTTAGAGGATGTCTTTGTTTCTTATGATAGCGCCAGTTTTGTATCTACTTCGGAAGCATCAATTCAATTGATTTTTCGACACGTCACCTAATAGGTAACTGCTCCACACCACGTATTTCGTGATATGCATTCCTGGCTCCGCCCAGGTGTCCGCAGACTGTCCACAAAGTGTAGTTTTCGAAAACATTCTTTTTCAGGAGTTCATGTTTTACACACCTTAGTACTAACGCTATATGTTGG